CACAAATAAAAAGCTATAATATTATTCGATTAACAAACGTCGTCTTTTGATAAATTTTCTCAACGAAATCGTGGTCACACCATTTCTAACAGTAACATTTGATGATCTAGAAACATCGATCCTATTCAAGAAATGGTATATCAATTTTAAATATTTGCAAGACTTGTGAAATATTAATTATTTAACAACTTACTTTGATGGAAGATCTACTTGAATTTTGAATATGGACGGCAAAAGCCGAATTATCGGATTAGAACCTTCTTCCAGGAGTTTTGAGTTGCCTTGAATGGTTATTTGATCATCATTATCTCCAATAAAAAATTCTAGATCCGAGCTCTTTTCAATTCCAGGAGTGTTCACCTTGAGTAAATAAGATCTTTGCAATAAAGGAAAAATATCAGTATGTAACATTTAATATTGATGATTCAAATTATATTTAATCAGAATAAATACAAACTCATTTATATCATATAAGTTGTATCCTAAAGATATAACATGACTAGTTTTGGGATCCTTATTAAAAACTGAATCTTGATCTAAGGGACTTTCATTAAAAATCGAATCTTGATCTGAGGGCCGTTTGCAATTAGGAAAATCACTAGTGCCGTTACTCTTTCCATTTGGACTGATTATAGATTGGGATGAAGGAGCCAAATCAGCAGATGTAGCATGAAATCTTTGCGAATTCTAGAAAAAAAAAGAGTATTGTGAGAACATAAATAAAAAGTCTTATGAATGTCTTAAAATTACCTTTGCAGTATGGGTGTTGTTAATACTTTTTTTTGACCGAGAAAATGTTAACTTTATACCATGGGGTCCATTAATACGTTGGTTTTGTACTTGCTTTAAGAAATCTTCAGTTTCATCTATTGTCAGAAAGTGTACATGTGCAAAACTAAAAAACATTTAAAAACATTTAATTGATAATTAAAAGAAGCAATTGAAAAAGTAATGATCTTTCAGGAGAAATTAAAAATCACCTATACACACTTATTACTTGGTCTTTTTAGAATGTGAAATCGTTTTCCCTGCGAAATAATATATATGGACTGCACTAGCTCTTCTCTTGTTATGCCGACTAGATGATCATCACCATTGACGCCAATAAATACAGATCTTTCGCTGTTACAACAAACCGCCTGAATTTCACCTGGAATGAAATAGATAGATGAACGAATGAATGAACGAACGAATGACAAATAAATGAATAAATGAATGAACGAATGAATGAACGAACGAACGAATGAATGAATGAATGAATGAATGAACGAATGAATGAATAAATGAATGAACGAACGAATGAATGAATGAACGAACGAATGAATGAACGAATGAATGAATGAACGAATGAATGAATGAATGAATGAATGAACAAACGAACGAACGAATGACAAATAAATGAATGAATGAACGAACGAATGAATGAATGAACGAATGAATGAACGAACGAATGAATGAATGAATGAACGAATGAATGAATAAATGAATGAACGAACGAACGAACGAATGACAAATAAATGAATGAATGAACGAACATGAACGAATGAATGAATGAATGAAATACAAGCAAACGAACGAACGAACGAACGAACGAACGAACGAACGAACGAACGAACGTATAAACAAATACAAGCAAACGAACGAACAAACATACAAAATAATGTACCTTCCATTAATTTTAATTTCTTAAATTTTTTTTGAGGAAAAAAGGAGAAAAAAACTATTTTATTGTATTTATGTAATTATTATTATTATTACGTAATATAACTTGAGTGATGAGTCAGATATTACCCAATAATAACGCGTTAGTCGCGTTAATTTTGCAGATCATTTTTTATTATTGCTAAAATTTTATTGGTTGACAAGATCATGTGATAGATCATGTGATTTCATAATGATTAATTAAAATAGTTAACCAAAAGATAGTTAATCAAAAAATAGTTAATTAAAATGCAAATGAAATAAATTAAAATGTAAATTAAATATAATTTAGCCCAAATAAAAAAGTATTAAATAATTTTTTTTATTTATAAAAATTTTTTAATTTTATTAAATTGCAAATTATACTTATATCTGACCAGTAATTAAAGCTTCAAATTGTGCATTTGTTAAAGCATTTATAGCCTTCTTAAAAAGTAAATCCACATTATTAAAATCTATATTTCTATCTAATAAAAAACCTTCATCACTAATATTAGTATTATCATTAGCTTCATCAATATCCATTTCATTTATCTTTTCATCTTTTGCTCGTGTATCTAAAGAATTCAAAGATTTTTGAAAAGCTTTACAATTTGTTTCAATTGCACTTATAAGATACTTAATATTGGTATTGACTTTTTAGTTTAAATAAAAAGCATTTGAAATGATAAGCATATTCACAAATCAGAATACAATCTATTGGTACATGAAAGAAGACATGGATGATGATGATTTAAAGGATGATGTTGATTCCTAAGAAATCATATATGTTTTCTATGTCATCTATATCATCTATGACATTTATTTCTTTTATACATTATATTTCTTTTATTTATTATATTATATTTATTTCATATATTTTATTTATTTCTTTTATATCTTCGATAACTTTATATTTTTTATTTTATATAAATAGAGAACAATTTCTTTTAGCTTAGCAGTATGTCTGATATAAAGATGGTAACCATAATTAATATGTTGCAATATATAATGTTATAACATATATTGCAACTATGTTGCAATAATTGATGATATTCATTAATTTGTTGCAACACTTAGTAATTAATTTAACTAATTTTTGCAATTTTGCAATATTTTGAACGTTTCAGAAATCAGAGGTTAAAATATTGCATTTTTGTATAATTGCAAATAAACTATGTCCAAAATTAAAGTTATGTGACATTTTGCCTAGTCGCGGCGAAGTTATAGTCTGATGCAAAATCTTTGAATAATCAGTGATAAAATTAAAAGTCACATAGATCAATCAATTTAAATCCAAATCGGATTAAATTTTAAACATTTAAAATACAGCATCTGGACAATCAATTGGCGTTTTAATTGTCAACTTTGTCTTAGAAAAATTTTTTTAATTTAGCAACGAAATGAAGACTGACAACAAGACTGCGTAAGCTTAATTCATTTAACATTTGTGGAATTCTGGGATTATGAATGCAGCTGAAATAAGACATAAAACAAATATACCAAGGTTCACAATATATTTCAACTTAGTAAAATTGAAAAAAACTAAAAGCGTCATCCACAAAAAATGCTCCAGTCACCTCAAAAAATTACTTCAGAGAGCTCAAAAGCTCTTAGGCAGTATATTAGAAGAAATCTAGCAGTTTCTTCTAGAAAATTAGCATCCAAATTATCGCTAAAGGATGTAAATGTGTTCTACAGTACAGTTTTATAGTATTTAACCAACCTTGGCTATGATAAGAAGGAACCCATTGCAACCCTGATGCTTACAAGGTTGCATAAGCAGAAATGTATAGAATAGGCCCAAAATTATATGAATGATGACTGGAATTGCACTCTTTTTTCAGATAAAACATCCTTTTGGTTATTTAGTAATACTGTGGAATATTAGTATAAGGGTCAACGATTGGTTCATCATATTCCAAAGGACCAGACAAGAATTAATACGTGGGGTGAATTTTATATTTAGGTAAAATCAGTCTTTACTGCTTCTGAGAGAATATGACTGGGCAATTCTATGTTGAAATAATAAAGAAGCATCTTTCTGAGATCAAGAGGATTCTATGTAACAATTAGCACCTTCAGCAAAATACCGATCCTAAGCATACAAGCAATGTAGCTAAGGATTTTCTGCAAAGAAAAGTTCTAGCAATTATGGACTGGCCATCTAACAGTTCTGACTTGAACCCCATAGAAAATTTATAGGCAATTGTTAAAAGAAATGTGGAGATGCAGCAATCACAAAATATTAAGGATTTGGAAAATTTTATGAAGGAGGAATGGTCAAAAATTTCACAGCACATTATTAAAAGTCTAGTTGATTCAATGAAGAAGAGATGTAAGCTTATAATTGAGAAAAATGGAAAATGCATTCCCTATTAATTTTTTTTTAATAAAATCTCCTACTTTTTAGCTTTTGAATAAATATTTTCCCATGTGAGTTGGCGCAGTCATTATGAAGTTATATTGAAAAATATTTGTCTAAAGACTTTAAATTTTTTTTTTTCAATTTTTATTTTTTAAAAAAAAAACTAATTTTACTTACCTTGTAAACTGATTTGTAACCTATAAACTGTGAACCTTTGGAGGTAAGTCTTAATGGTAACTTTTTAATTTAGATTTTTTTTTTTTTTCAATTTTTATTTTTAAAAAAATAAAAACTAATATTACTTGCCTTGTAGAACGATCCGAAACTTTTAAATCGTGAAATCTTTGGATTATAGGTAAACCTTAATGAAATAATTTTAATTAAATTTTTTTTTTTAAAAAAAAAAACTAATATTAACTTACCTTGTAAATCGATCCAAAGCTTTCAACTGTGAAAATCTTTGGATGAAGTAAGTCCTAATAGAATAATTTTAATTGAATATTTTTTTTTTATAATTTAATAAAGAATATTAACACTAATTTACCTTATAGACTGATCTGGAACCTTTAACCTTAGAATTTTTAGGTTAGAGGTAAGTCGTAATGGAAAAATGTTAATTAAATTTTTTTTTAATTTTTTTAAAAAATACTAATATTAACTTACCTTGTAGACTGATTCAGAACTTTTAACAGTAGAATATTTGGATAAGTAAGTCCTAATGAAATAATTTTAATTAAATTTTTTTTAATTTAAAAAAAAAATTTACATTTACTTATCTTATAGACTGATCCAGAACTTCTAACCATGGAATCTTTAAATTGAAAGTAAGTCCTAATGGAATAATTTAATTTAATTTTTTTTTTAATTTTTTTAAAAAAATACTAATATTAACTTACCTTATAGATCAATTCAGAACTTCCAATCGTAGAATCTTTGGATAAGATAAGTCCTAATAAAGTAATTTTAATTGAATATTTTTTTTTTTATAATTTAACAAAGAATACTAACATTAAAGACCGATCCAGAACTTCTAACCTTGGAATTTTTGGATTGGAGGTAAGTTCTAATAGAAAAATGTTAATTAAATTTTTTTTTTAATTTTTTTAAAAAATACTAAAATTATCTTACCTTGTAGAATGATCTGAACCTCTAACTGTGAAATCTTTGGATGAGGTAAGTTCTAATGAAATAATTTTTTAATTAAATTTTTTTTTAATTTAATAAAGAATATTAAGATTAGCTTATCTTATAGAATGATACGGCATTTTCCAAACCTTGTGAATCTGAATTGATTAGTATTTTTTTTTTTTTTTAAAAAAAAAAGGTAATTAACACTAAATTTACCTTTATAAAACAGTCTGAATCCTTGAAACCTTGGGTTAGAATCAATCGAAGATAAGTCTTAAATAATTTGTCAGATTTTTTTTTAAAAAAATAACTAATACTAATACTTATTAATATTTGTCTTTA